AAAGAGCCACTAAGCTTCTTTAGGTAATGTTAAATGTTCAAAAATGTAGGACCTTAAAGAATTCAAATCAGCCTGAACTAAAATAAATACAAACATACAATAAATTATGTATTAACTAAATACGTTTAGTGTTGATATCTTGTCTCTTTTTCCTCTGTTGTTTAGGTTAATGTATTGTTCTGCAGATCAGGAGACTCATATTCATGACAAATAGGAGGAGGTTTTGAGCACATGTTTGTTTTCACCAGGGAAAGATATGGGTCTACTGAGTATTCCACATCACTCAGTAAAGTTTGTTTGGATATAGAGACCCCTAGTGGGTAATATCTAGTGAAACACAATCCAGTGAAGGCTGGAACAGAGGAACAAAGATGTCAATGATTGTCATATTAATGGTGCGTTTAAGTGTCACAAGAAGAAGCTTTGTATAAAAAAACAAAATGCAGGCCATTACATGTACCCCGAAAATATGCCACACACAATATGTGTCCCATAGATTGATAATTCTGTGTCTGCCTTATTAAAACTGATTTGTAATATAAGCAATAATTCCTCCTTGAGACACTCTTTGCACTGCATCTTTATGATGAAACTATAGTGCAAGTAATTTCATATTTTATCATCCACTAAAAAAAACATGTGGTCAGCATTGCTGTTACATGGAGACACGTAAAAATCAATAGAGCCTACTGTATAATTTATAAATCCTATGCTTATTCTTTGCTGGCTATATTTACTCCCCTGAGGACACAATCGTATACGACCTGCTCGGACATCAATCTTAGATTCTATAGAAGAATTATAATCCATACATATTTTATTTGTATTTTGCTGTATGTTTTTGCTGCAATCAGGTTTTCAAAAGTCAGTCAATTGTTAATATAACTTGCAAGTATTTATTTTACACTGGAATTTGCTGTTGCAAAAGAATAAAATAATGCAAACTGTCGTACAACAGTATGACGAATTATACATTATCTTTTCTTAATGCTGAGATCAATGTTTTCCCCACGCTTTTTTGCCACACAAGCATTTTTTTCAGTAGAACCGTTTTAGCATTTCAACGTCTTTAAGTATTTTACACATGCAGTTCTAAGCTATTGACAAATGAGGCCCATTAGTTCTATTAGTATTTGCAAACACAAGCAGAAATAATTCAGCCCGTTCCCATTGTGGTTAAAAAAATCGAATACAGATGATACAAAAAACACAATAATTGTGACGACTAATTCTTTGCAATACATTTCGGTTTAGTCAGCTCAATGAATTTCTTAACACTTATTTGTACAATTGCAACGGTTTGTTATGATTATACCAAATATTCACTACTTTTCCTAAGGGCATACGAAAGATCTGTTAACAAAGCAAGTCAAAGGAACTTTCCACAAGGTCCACATGAGATCGCCTTAGTCTAATACGCTTTCCTTGCTTAACTGGATGATGTCATTTCAAGAAATCATTAGACACAATTTTGAAATATCCTTATTTAGTAATTTTTCAGTTTTATTTTCAGTTGTTTGTTAATCTTTTAGCACATATAAAATGAACTCACATGCAAAGTGTCAAAACGAAATGAACATTTGTTGCTGTTGTTTCATTCGGACTCTGATCCTCCCCCTGTGCTCTGCTCTCTGCCCCCCCCCCAGGCTGTAACGAGAACGACACGGATCACATGGACCGGGAGCAGTCCTACGCTCCAACACAGAAGACCAAACGCATGCGGACGTCCTTCAAGCACCATCAGCTGCGGACAATGAAATCCTACTTTGCCATCAACCACAACCCAGATGCCAAGGACTTAAAGCAACTGGCCCAGAAAACTGGCCTCACTAAGAGAGTTCTACAGGTAAGCACAACGCCATTCCTATTGATCTGATCACCCCATATGTGAGTCTGCACACCACTCCTCCTCCATGTCCCTCTCATTTCACACCAATATTACCATTCAAGTCATCTTTTTGATTTTCTTTGTTTTGTTGGCCCATTTAGTCATTAGATGTATATCCAGGGGTTATACTCAGAAATCTTGTAGATTCTTAAATGTAATATTTCTTGGGAAAGAAAGCAGAAACGTTGTTGATAGGCGTAGAAACATAAGTGTATAAGTGAAGCTGATATTATTATTAATCAGAGTGCACATGCTCTTTTATGTGTGGAACAGAAAATGGTGTAATTCAAATCTCCCAGATAAAACATTCAAAATAATTTTGATTTGTTGTTCAGGAGCTACCTGGTTCATTGTTATCTGCCCCTTAAGCTCAAATTAATGTATGAAAATGGCAATATAACAATTCATAGACATATGGCAAGGGCAAGTTGATACAGAAATAGCTGTGATAACTTGATATGTAAACTACTGTTCAAATGATTTATTTTTCAAAATTAATCTTAAACACAAAAAAGTAAAAGCCACATTGGGATTGGTTTGCAGGTTTGGTTCCAAAACGCAAGAGCCAAATTCAGAAGGAACGTTTTGCGACAGGAGAATGGAGGTGTTGATAAGGCTGATGGCACCTCACTCCCTCCACCCTCATCTGACAGTGGGGCCATGAGCCCCCCCTCCAGCGCGGCCACACTAACAGACCTGACAAACCCCTCTATCACTGTAGTGACCTCCGTCACCTCTAGTTTGGACAGCCATGATTCGGGGAGCCCTTCACAAACTACCTTGACAAACCTTTTCTAACACGCTATCCCCAACAGACTGTTTTTTTTCAAATCTGTTTTTCTTTTGTTTTTGTTTTATTTCCTCAATTTACATTTAATTTTTTTAAGTGACACCTTTAAGAGACCGCTCCTTGGAACTGAAAGTGCTGTACTGTGTACACAAACAAGAACAACAAGAGCAAGAACAGCAGCGACCACATTAAAACACGAGGACATCTTTTAACGTGTAGCATTTTAAACCGCATGGCAGCCGTGTCTGTAGTTGACTTACAGTTTGCAGAGATTGATTTTGGACGGGACACTTTTGAAGTTGAAGGCATTACAAAATTGTCATGGATCTCACAATTCATCAAAAAAACGAACTAAACTTAAAGCGTGTCTGGAAATCTTAATTGATTTGACTTTATTTGTACATTTGTAATGATTTATGATAAAACAAGCCCTTCCTAATTTATGGTTAATTGGTGATTTTAAAATCCTGTATATGTATGCACTGTTTTCGCACTATCCAATTTGAAGATTTATTTTCTGTTTTGGCATCATTTGGGAAATAAACTTGTAGAATGTTCTGTTTATGGGTAACTCCAGAAAACAGGCTTAATATTTCCGCATGTTTCAGTCGTAATGACTGAGTTGGATGGAATCAGACGTGGAGAGATCTCACAGAGCTACATGTAAAACGTCTAAATTGCATTCTAAGCGCCCAACCATCGCAGCTTATATGGCAGCTAGATGCTGAAACCATATAGGTTTTTGTTTTGATTCACAAATCTACTGTGAAAAAGAGAAAACATCTAATCCCACAATCTGTACAGTGGTAACTGTTCAACATGTAATGCAGTCAGTTTGATCATTTGAAATCCGCAGGAGAAATTGGGATCTGAGAACAGTTTATGCACGCTGTTGCAATCGATTGTTTTCATGACAGAGCACTTTTTCAGATTTGTTGGCATCTCAGATTAACCGTAGTCAAATGGATAAATCCTAGTAAACATATCCATGGATCCACAGCTTAACTCAATTGCACAGTGACAATATACTGCCCAGTGAAAAGTGCATTATTGTTTTTATCATGTTGCTCAGGGTAACGATGTGATTTTAAAAGGGAAAAGGAGTAGGGGGAGAAATGAAGTGGTTGCGACGTTGCAGACTAGATTTGTAGAGCTGACATGAACAATAAAAATGACCTCAGATAGGTGGAGTCGCAAGAGGCAGCCAGTGGGAAATCATTGTCCATGTGTTCTCCTTTTTGGCCATATGTATACTTTCTTTAATGACTTGCCACTGAACAGACCAAAAACATGTTTCTTCTGGCTGAGAGAAAGAGAGAAAAGAAAGAGAGAGCAAATCTTCAATAGAGTTGATACATTTCATTGTGAGCGTCACAATTTGTTCTCTTGTAGAACAAAGTGGTACTCTAGATCTACTTAATGAAGTAGATGCCTAACTCAGTTCTGCTATGTGCCTTATGCTATAACTTGGGAGAAAGTTTGTGATATTCAGGATATATGTGTTCTTTGTTAACTGATTCACATCCTTTTGACGCCTCACTAGTTTTGTACTGTTTTGCATCTTATTTCCGAAGATCTTTTTATGGTGTGTCCTGTTCAAAAGGGGGCAGCGATGTCATAGAAAGCATTTGTGCACTCTTTCAGATATAGTTGGGTAATCCAAGAACCTTATATATTGATCTTCGTGTTAATAGTTGAGTACAGTAAGTGTTCTATCAAGATTGTCCATGTTTCCCTGTTTCTTGATAAAGATGGTGTATAGAAACTATTTCCCCCTAAATATTTATGGACCAAACGGTTGTTATATATCTTATTAAATTTGTGTGAATAAAAATACTTTGCTTTTAAATGGGTTTTATTTTTCATTACACTTGCCATTTTTGTGTTTTATCTTGAGTACAATTTTCTTTTATCACATCTGCAAATGAGTAAAGCATTCAGTTATTAATGACCAGTTAAACGTCCTCATTTTTGCTCCCATTTTTTATTTATATTTCCTATTTTATGATGTTTATGGTTTTTAACGTAATGCCCCATGGATTTGCATCTAAACCCTGCAGTCAAAAATATGAATTTGCTTTTTAATGCATGAATATGGCTTTTAAATTTAAATCAAAGGAATGCTGCAAAGCATTTATCAATATATATATATCTATATTTATATATATATTATGCATAACATTGGTAAACCTAAAATGAAGTAAGAGTAATTGCAGACCCAGTAAAGCCAGGTTGCTCTGTAGTTAATATATTCTTACTCTATTATTTCTTTCAGGGAGAACAAATCTTGGGGCATTACAGCCATACATCCCGGCGTTTGAAAATTCCCTAAAGTATTAACAGAAGGGGAAAACTTTGATGGGAATTCCTCACCATTGAAGACAAAGACAATATTAGGATAAGACGTTAGCATATTGAGAACAAATAAACAACCAACATAAAACCTGTTTGAGTTGCAAATGTACAACGGATGATTTTTTTTAACAACAATTTGTCCTGAATGTTTGAATCCATCAACGGAGGAGACCCTACAATGTATGCTATTTATGACATCAATGTGAAGAAAACAAATCTTTCTGTATTGGAATGGTAAATACACAAAACTGATGATTAAAATGTATTGTAACATAGTAAAAAAAAAACTGACAGTACTGCAAAGGATGTAATTACAACAGCAGGAATGACAACAGTGTGAAACAGACGCTATGGATGATATTGGTATGATCACACACACACACATACACACTACTACACATGTACTTTTTCCTATTGCCTCCTAAATAAGCACTATATATAAATTCCTATAATCTTTGTTCTGCAACACACACACTTAGGTAAACAAATGCACACATGCTGCTGCCCCCCTGCACCCCGCCCAAGAATCAGCTTGCTAAATCGAAGTTTTCTTTTGTCACAAGTGTCATTTCGTAAACACATGGCCTCCTTGAAACTCGGCAGCAGGATGCCCATCAAATGTGATGAGTGTATGAAGAGGACTGCAGAGCTGGAGCTTTGCCATCTGGCTGTACCGAGGGAAGGAAGTGAAAAAACAAAGCAGATAAAGAAGAGATTCTCATTTTGCATGTGCTCATCATCTTGCTAACATTTCCTTGAGATGTGTATTATTTCCTTTGATTCATTGTATGATTCATTGTCAGCTGCAAAATAAAGCATATGAAAATGATGTCCCTGATGCCACTATAGTACCTCACAGTGGAAAAACACTCATAGATTATATACAAAAAAAAAATCTTCTATAAATGTATCATAAAACAATTACTTTCAGTTAGATTTAGAACAATACAGTCACACATTTGCAGAAATAGCTACATTATATTTGCCAGTTTAATTGAATAACGTAGCAAAAAATGAACAACAGAATGCACAAACTAATTGGCATAACGTGAATGCTTCAGTTAGTTGTTTGGCAGTTTCACTACTTAGTATGAATGCTGGGTATGTCATTTAAAGAAGGTGTGTTGTGGAACGAGAAAAAAAGAAAAGAAATAAATCTGAAGCCACATGGGGACCAGTAAACAGGCTGGTGTTGAATTCCAACAATGTGGGAAACAGCAAACACTCCCGTCAGGCCAAGAGGAGCTCAGTCGCTGGGGTGCCTCTGCGCTGTGGCAGCAGGGCTGTGTTCCCCGGGTCTGATGGGAGGACGGGGGGCGGGTTGACACCACAGAGCTACAGGAAGCAGGGGCTGGAGCACAAACAAACACAGCCAGCACTGCTCAGCTCTGGAGCTGCGAGATGAAAACTCTGGACAACGTCATGGCCCTGCGTTGACAAGAATTCCAGGGTTTGCTGCTGGGCTGTCGGTGAATGAAATCCATCGTGTGTGTGTGTGTGTGTGTGTGTGTGTGTGTGTGTGTGTGTGTTTGCACTTCAGCCACCGTCTTGCCAACTGGATTGATTTACCTTATTCCAGGTATGCTTTTTTATTTACAAAAATATGTTTAAGAAAATAAATATAAGAATAAAATGATACATTATTGTTCCCTTGTTGAAACATTTGTAGCAACAGATATATTTTAGTTCACTTTAAAACTACAAAATCCAGCTCATAAATCTATTTACAACCTGTGACCTATATTTTTGGATGAATATCTGTTAAATAGATTAATCTCTGTTAAAGTATAAACACAGTGTTGCCTGCACAGGTTAGAAAGAAAGGAGGGCTCCTCCTCCACCTCTTATCTCCTCCCCCGGTTAAATGACAGCCCCTGTTCACTATGACTGTACAAAAACAATGCTGACAGAGCTGTATGTTTCCTGTCAAACACACAGTCTTTTCATAAAGTTCAGGGCACTCTGAAACAGTATTTGACACTTTAAAATAAAGGAAAACATCTAAAATGCTCCTCCATTCAGAATTAAAATGTACAGACAGATGGTTTGGGAATTAAACATTATTTTCCCACTTTTTTAAATGTATTAACAAGGACAATTAAACTTACAAGGGGTTCACATGCTACTCAACATGACTCAGATACATGCCAGGGTTGGGTTTCACAAACGTGCTCAAACTGACATTTGCAACTGAGGCCTGCCTATGTGGTCAGATCTGACCGATAAAATGTGTTACATGTAAAGGTCAAATGAGAATACCAACGGAAAGGACAAGCACTTAACACTGCCTGTCATCACAACAAAAATTAGGGGAAATCTCCAGTGTCCATTCATTATTTTGACATCAGATATCACCCTGCAACAGCCAAACCAAATCAACGATACAGTCATGTGCTCTGGTTTCCAACATTTTGTAAGAATTAAATACTTCCTATAATATTAAACGCCTTCAATTCACTCTACCTTTTACAACTATATTGTAAAATGAGGAAAGTGTGTCTCTGAAGGCACACACACACACATGGTCAGTCACAGAGACATTACCAGACATTATACACACACAGTGACAGGCGACAGGGTCAAAACAAAGTATGGGATGATCACTGAGGCATAGGCCACACCTGCAGGGTACATGTTGCTCTGATAGTGCTGTTTCTTTTGTCACAGCTTGTGTGTGTATGTATGTATGTGTGTGTGTGTGTGTGTGTGTGTGTGTGTCTGCCAGTTCCGCCTCAGTTCTCTCCCCTCATTGCTAGGCGCCTATTTAACCTCACCTCACATACCAACCACCCTGCTAACACAGATACACACCGGCACAGGGACACATAACAAACACCAGTGCACACAGGCAGATGTCAGAGGGGGGACGATGTGAATGAGACAGTTAAACTGGTGTGTGTGTGTGTGTGTGTGTGTGTGTGTGTGTGTGTGTGTGTGTGTGTGTGTGTGTGTGTGTGTGTGTGTGTCAGTACGACTGAGGCCTGCCCCACTGTTTAATGCAGAGCAGGTGGAGAGATCCTCTGTGCTGGGAAAAACACTGAAATATACACATGTAAGTAGTAGTATACACAACACAAACACACACAAATTGACAAAGTGATTTTAGGCAGAAATTGTATATGTCAGATTTGTCCTTCACATTATCACATGATCTCTCCTGTGCCTCATTTGTGCGGTGCTTTAAACACAACATAAATCCTTTATTTCTTTGTTGTGCTGTTATTCTATATTTACGATATCTGTTATGTGACGGCTCACATCTAGACAACCTTGAAAACGCTGCGATCAAGGCTGATAACTACGGGTTGCAATTGCACTTTGAAGACAAAACAACATTAATTAGCGTTTTAAATGGAAATGCAGGCATCACATGCCTCCAAGTTCGCCTGGGTATACGAAAAGAGAGGCAAGATTTTATACATATTTCCATCTGTAATCTCTTTCTCTTTTCCTCTGATAGCTGTGCTCTGTGAGGTACATAAACAGGAAGCTCATCTACATGGATACGGCATGTTTCAGAGTGTGACAGGTCATCTTTGTACTGGTAGAGTGTAACCTCTCAGTTCTTGCTAAACCTTCAGGTTGCACGCGGCTCCTCTCCCCTCCATCTGCTGGTCTCTATGAAGTCTGTGCCGGATCACAGGAGCTTTGACTGCAGCTTCTGTCTCTACCACATTGCAGTCATACTTAACCCCTGAGCCAGATCAACAACACATAGGGAAATAAAAAAAAGACATGAGTGAAAACATCAACATTTTTTTCTTTTAAAGTGTTTAAAATGTGCTTTCAGCCCCTGGGTGCAACATTTTTGAATATTTTGCAATGATAAAATACCCAGGTTGAATTCCCCTGAAATGTGCATGTTGAAGAAAACAAAAAATAAAGTAGTGTGCATGTATTATACTATAGGTCTTGTCCATAATATAGTGAATTCATGGTTTTAATGATCGGAAATCAGTTTTGCAAACGAGCTGAAATTAGCAATTTTCTCTGCATTTAAAAAAATAGATTTTTGCCAATAGTGCTTTAAAGTATTCTTCCTCATGCTGTTCATTGTCATAAACAAAACATGTGAGTCCCCAAATTCTCATAAATTCAAATTAATTGTCATCAGATCAGATTAGTAGGCAGTTTTGTTTCGAAAAAAGGGCCTTAATACGTGCACGATTTTGTTCTAACACAGAGTTAAATGTCACGTTTACAATATAATGTCTCTATAAATCCAGCGATTCAACCTTCCTCATTTCCCCTGGAGGGAGAACCTTTTCCATTCTGGTTACCTGCAAGCGACACCAGAAAGTTTGAAGGGGAAGAGAGTGAAAAAGATGACAATACTCTATTCATGCTAAAAAAAAATCACTGTATCAAAAGGAAATCCTCTCTGTTAAATAAACAATATCAGCAAAAAGAACACAAAAAGTTTTCTATTGGTTTAAAGCACCAGATCAGTGCAGAGAGCCACTTTTAGAACAATGGAAATTCAACACGATTATT